ATCACAGGAAATAGTTTTGAAAAGGAGTAATGCAAAAATGAAAATAACCATCAGCTCACTTAAAGGCAGCTGAGTGGGCCCTGGTACCTGCAGTGAGGGGCTGATGAGCAGGCATTCTGATCGTCTGGACCCAATGGCAGGTGTCACCAGCTGACATCCCCTTCCTTGTGAATAGTGCAATTGCAGGACTCAAGGAGAAAACATGGTTTTCTGAGGCCTTCACTAGACTCCTGCTTGTCTTCAGAGGTGGAGCCCAGACTTTCCAACACCATGGTGAGAAATGTTGAAGTGGCTGAAACTCACATGCCAGCCTGACTCTTCATCAGTATCCACCATGACATTGAATGCCATTGGTGTGCCTCACCATGACCCAGGGTAGGTCAGAATCAGGTAGAATGTTAGGATAGGCTCTCTGACTTCTAACCTACCATCTCCAATGAGGGCAGGTACCTGCCTTTGTTAGATTTGGGTAATGTACTCACTGATTCCTTCCATCAGTCAACCAATGCTTAGTGATTCACACCTTCGTATGCTTAGGAATGAGGCCACAAGCTGAAGGTCAAGAGCAAGCTATTTTCAATGCTGAACAGCTATTTCGTTTGTGTGTGTATGGTTGTGGTACCAGAGATGGAGGGCCTTATGCGTGGGAGGCAAGCATTCTACCTCTTGAGCTATATCGTTCATTGGTTTACTTCCTTTGTTGTACTCACATGAAAGTGTTGGCTGTAGTACTCCAAGGATCAGGCTGCTTGCTCAGTTGCCTGAAGGCCTGGATCATGGCCTGTCTGTCCTCTGTTGGCCCATGACTTCTTGATGTGGCCCCCAACTCCTACTGTGGGGATGCTGAGCTCCTAGCCAGGCTGCTAGGAGAGAATGGAGTGAATCTGTGGGCTAAAGCCTTCCTTGGAAAGTGGATGTCAAAGTCCAGAATTGTGCGTGTATGTGCACGATTGCCCTGCTTGTCAGGGGACATAGGGTGGGGGACAGGTCACAATCAGAGAGTTGCTGTGTGGCCTGTGAGGGAGCAGTGTGTTCCCCACAGGAAGGCATTCTCCATGCATTCATTCCATGGAAGGCTTGGGAAATGAGTAATAATACTCTCCATACGAACAGTAGAGCCCTCGCAGGCAGCCCACCTCCTCCAGTCCTGTGAGCGCCCACAGCAGCAGCTGGATCCAATCCTTTAATAGTAGGATAAATGACCCTCGGTTTCCCACGGTATGCATTTATGCGAGTTGCTGGAGTGCCACCATTGAGGGATCCCTGCCTGACTCTCAACAGTTATACTTGATGTGTGTGCTTGGGTACATGACTGCACATGAGTGTATATAAACACACATACACACACACACACACAGAGAGAGAGAGAGAGAGAGAGAGAGAGAGAGAGAGAGAGAGAGAATTTCTCCCAAATCTTGAACATAGTTCTTGTAGATACTTTCTCATCCCTTCCCTGTGATGATCCTTGGCACATGAAGCAGGTGCCAAGGTACTTAGAAGGTTTATGACCAATACTTGGTGAATGACTGAGGTGAGGCCTAAATGAATTGTGGATTGCTAAGTATGGAAAAGTTGGGGCTGGCCCAGGTTTTATGAGTCCCAGGCCGGGCCTGAGGCCAGCTTGTCCTGCCTCGGCTGCTTTGGCCCAGGGACAGAACATCAATTACTTCATATTCTTTCCAAGAACTCACATACCCCTTCTTAGGCAGTGGTTTGGAATGACACTAAGCAGGAGCCTGAGCCTACCTACTCACAGAAAGCTGAGGATTTAGAGATATTCTCTGACACAGTGCTACAATGCAGTGATGCTATCTGCCCAGGTTTTATGCAGGCTTACCTCAGGGTCCCAGGTCCTAGGAGTATCTTCAAGGTGCTGGCTGGTCCTTCTGAACACATGGTCTGTTTGGTGGTTAGATCCTTAAGAGAGTGGTCAATATCTGTCCCTTACTCCCCAGAGTAGGGACAGCAAAGATGGCTAAAGACTGGGATGATCCCCATTGGCAACTAGAGGGAGGAACATGGTGATGAGGTAATCTTCTGTGGTGCTTTTAGACCTTAAGGTTCTGAACTGTGAATGTTCTTGAACTTATGAAAAGCTGAGGTTGAAATGAAGACAAGTCTTTGGGGCCTAGCTGCTTCTATAGGTTGTGATTCTAGGATCTGTCCCTGCTCAACCATTTGTTGGGGGACAGAACCCAACATGAGCCAAGTGAGTCTTAGGGTTTGCTGCATGGCAGGCATCTACCTTCAGAGAAGAAGCACATGCATAAACTCAATGATGCACTGGCCTATTCAGGAGGACTCCAAAAAAGGGAATTAGAAGATGAAACAGAAAACCGTTGATGATCAACCTCCATCACAGTGGGTGCAAAAGGCCTTGTGAGCTCAGACAGACCTACATCAAGCAGTCAATTCTGAAGCACTGGGAAACATCGTGGTATCAGGAAAAAAAAATGGTGTTGATTTAAACAAACAACGGCAACAACAGTGGATGTTGACTTTTGAGCAGAATAAAAGCATTCCCTACTCAAGGCAAACTTCAGGACTCCCATGTTGAGTTGCTGGCCGGTAAAGGTGGGCATAGCCTCCAACTTGACACTCCTTGTTCAGCCCGATTGTACCTGATTGTAGCCTTGTTGCTTGCACACTCAACCTTCTCCTCTGTCTCTGCTGAACTGGCACCTATCCTCAGCAACCTGAAAATAGATTCATATCTCCTGAACTGGCCAACTGGACAGCCCTTGGAAGTAGGCCAGTCACGCTGGCATTGACCTCTCCAAACTTCCTAAGAGCTGCAGGGTGGACTTCTGTGCACTACCATGTGGTTCCAGAGACATGATTTACATTTGCTTAAGAGAGGAGCCAGCATGGCTTGATAGGATTGAAAGGTTCAGGGGGGCCCCAGACTAGGCCCTGGAGGTCACTCATGCCTGCAGTTGCTACTACACTCTGGGCATGCCCCTCTCTGATCACCAGTGGATGCCATGACTCCCTGGATTGTGACAATCATACCCACCAGTATGTCATCAGTGAGTGATAGAGACTGGTGCACCATGAGAATTCTCACGTCTCATGACGTGAGAATGAGTAGGTTTGTCGAATAAATTTTAGAATATCCATGACAACCTAGCTCCTGACCAAAAGGGAAGATGGCAAATTGAAAACTGTTTTTACTGCAGATGAACATGTGCCTCTGTGAGGATGTGTGAGCATGTGTAGAGTTGACCATGCCATCATTCAAGGGCTACACTGGACTGAAGTCCTTCTCCCTCCTGGAACTGAACACCCATGTCTTTGCTCTTGCCAAGACCCATGCCATTACTTTCGCACTGGAGACCTCCATGTGATGCACTGTCTAGTCTGTCTGGAAGGCAGCCCAGCAAACAGCAGACTCCACTGGGTGGAATGTACTTGCCCCACAGTTGATAGCTCTGGGCTTACAAGACCCCCAGAAAAATTTCCTCCAGGAAATTTCTTGGTCCCACAGTTTTGGCTAGGGTTAAACACAGGGTCTCTGGGTCTTCTAGCTGGCCAACACATTGAAAGACTTGACTATAAAGAGATGCACACAAATCCATTCTAAAAGCAGGAAGTGATCCTGGACTCCTTCAAGGGAAGACATGTTTGAAAATAGAAGGATTCCAGGCATGGGCTCATTGCTTTCCAAGCTAAGGACCCTGCAGACTCTGATGTGGAGGAGAGCCTGACCTCTGACCCACCTAGAACAGTCTGGTGTTTGCTGTTCTGCACAGGCTGTGGAGGGGGCAGAGGGGACTATTAAAGACAATTACACAGACTAGCTTTGAGTGTTTGTGTTTAACAAACAGCTTTGAGTTCTAATTTTCTGCAAAACACATACTGCAGGTACAATTTGTACTCATTACTGTATATTGGGAAAGTTATTAAAAACACTCAAACTTGGTTGAGACTTCCTATGGCATCGTCCCTGGATTTTAATTGGTTTTTATCTAGTTCAGCAAAAGATCTCTTTAAGGCCAATCAAAGTCCCTGGCTCGGCTGCCTTGCCAGCCAAAGGACAGAGAGAAATCATTATACAACATAAGTCTACCTCCATCCAAATACCAACAGCCTAGAAAGTCCACCAAGAGTCCATCAGGAGATCAGGTATAGAATGGACACCATTACCAGATGACAAAAAAAAAATCAGTGTTTCATAACCAAGGGTTAAATTTTAATCTCTGAGGTTTGCAAAGCTGCTACTAGCAGTCTCCTTAAAATTTAATATACCTCGTTAATGCTTCCTTGCAAACACTGAAGGATTTTTATGATTATAATCATGTGTTACAGCACCTAGTACTGTTTCTAAGCAGCATACTAATCAGCTTAATGAGATATTACTGCACTTTTTGTTGACTAAAGCAAAATCTCTTTTATTGTTCTAAAGCCTGTCCTTTACTTTATTTTTTCCCAAAACATTATCTTGTTTTATTATGTACCAGTAAATATCATGGTATTGGCTGTATTTTTTCCTTTGGCCAAATCATAAAATGATCTCTTTCATCTTAGACTATTGAGTGTACTAAATATAGTCAACAGAAAACAAAGTGCCCTGTTGGTCTTTCAGTGAAAGCCACTCTGCTCTAAGGCAAACTTTGGACTGAACCAACAGGTAGAGGAACTTTGTGAAGGGAAAAGAGGATTCGTTGAACACGCAGAGCCTTGTTATGTTATTAGGTGTTGAAAATAGTAAAATATTAATAATTGAAATGTGAATGAATAATTGCAGTCTGTAAATAGAAAATACAAGGAAGACGATCCATATCCAAAACAAATTGGAGGACACTGCCACATTGCATAATTGACATTAAATAATTCATCTTTTTATTATTGTTTTTGACTATAATTTCTTAGCAGTATTATGGGTAGGTAAGTCATGAAATGCAAACGTCCTCCCCACTCTCAACCCATCCCCAACTTATGTTATTGCTTTTTCCAGTCACTGTCCCTGGCTCAGTACTAAACTCTGTTTTTATTTCTAGGGATGGAAGAAGCGAGTCTGTGCCTTGGAGTGTCCTCAACGGCACCGGAAGCTGAGCCTCATCTGAGCGGCCCAGTCCTCAATGGCCAGTATGCCATGAGCCAGAAGTTGCACCAGATCACTTCCCAGCTCAGCCATGCCTTTCCTGAGTTGCACCCGAGGCCCAACCCAGAGGAGAAGCCACCTGCGGCCCTTGAGGAGAAGGCTCACGTGCCCTTGAGCGGACAGTCCATGGGCAGCCAAATGGCGTTGCTGGCCAACCAGCTGGGCCGCGATGTTGACAACAGCCTTAATGGGCGTGTGGACCTGCAGCAGTTCCTCAATGGGCAGAACCTAGGAATCATGTCTCAGATGAGTGACATTGAGGATGATGCCCGAAAGAACCGGAAGTATCCGTGTCCTCTGTGTGGCAAGCGTTTCCGGTTCAATAGCATCCTCTCCCTGCACATGCGCACTCACACTGGTGAGAAGCCATTCAAGTGCCCCTACTGCGACCACCGCGCGGCCCAAAAAGGAAACCTCAAGATTCACCTGCGGACCCACAAGCTGGGCAACTTGGGGAAGGGGCGCGGGCGGGTACGTGAGGAGAACCGTCTGCTGCACGAGCTGGAGGAGAGGGCCATCTTGCGGGACAAGCAGATGAAGGGCAGCCTGCTGCAGCCAAGGTCTGATCTCAAGCCCTTGGCACATGCCCAGCAAGCCCCGTTGGCCACTTGCAACTTGGCCTTGCCTCCCAACCACAGCGTGCCCGACGTAGCCCACCCGGCACCTTCTCCCAAGCCGGTCAATTTGCAGGAGGATTCGGTGACCCCGGCTGCGGGCTTCCGATGCACCTTTTGCAAAGGCAAATTCAAGAAGCGAGAAGAGCTGGACCGCCACATCCGCATTTTGCATAAGCCCTACAAGTGCACACTGTGTGACTTCGCGGCCTCGCAGGAGGAGGAGCTCATCAGTCACGTGGAGAAGGCCCATATCACTGCGGAGTCTGCCCAGGGCCAAGGCCCCAATGGTGGTGGAGAGCAGTCAGCAAACGAGTTCCGCTGTGAGGTATGTGGCCAGGTGTTCAGCCAGGCCTGGTTCCTGAAGGGCCACATGCGCAAGCACAAAGACTCCTTTGAACATTGCTGTCAGATCTGTGGTCGGCGCTTCAAAGAGCCTTGGTTCCTGAAGAATCACATGAAGGTCCACCTCAACAAGCTGTCGGTGAAGAACAAGTCCCCCACTGAGCCTGAGGTGTCGGTGCCCATGGGTGGCCTGTCCCAGGAGGCCCATGCTAACCTGTACTCTAGGTACCTCTCCTGCCTGCAGAGTGGCTTTATGGCCCCGGACAAAGCCAGCCTGAATGAGCCTTCCCAGCTCTATGGCAAAGGGGAGCTCCCAGCCAAGGAGAAGGAGGTTCTGGGAAAGCTACTGTCGCCCATTTCCAGTATGGCTCACAGTGTCCCCGAGGGGGACAAGCACTCCCTCCTGGGCTGCCTCAACCTCGTGCCACCACTGAAATCCAGCTGCATCGAGCGGTTGCAGGCAGCTGCCAAAGCTGCAGAAATGGACCCTGTGAATAGCTATCAGGCCTGGCAGCTCATGGCCAGGGGCATGGCCATGGAACACGGCTTCTTATCTAAAGAGCATCAGCTCACGCGCAACCACGAAGACCCTTTGGCAAACGCCGGAGTTCTGTTTGATAAGGAGAAGCGGGAGTACGTGTTAGTGGGAGCAGATGGCTCCAAGCAGAAAATGCCTGCTGATTTGGTTCACAGCACTAAAGTGGGCAATCAGAGAGACCTGCCAAATAAGCTCGACCCTCTAGAAGGCAGTCGGGAATTTTTGTCACATGGGCTCAACCAGACGCTCGAATACAACCTGCAGGGTCCCGGGAACATGAAAGAGAAGCCCACTGAGTGCCCGGATTGTGGACGTGTTTTCCGAACCTACCACCAGGTGGTCGTGCATTCTCGCGTCCACAAGCGGGACCGCAAGAGTGACGAGGATGCTCTACACGTGGGTGTGGGCCTGGAGGAGCGGCGAGGCTCAGGCAGCGACCAGGAGTCCCAGTCAGTGAGCCGCTCCACCACACCTGGCTCCTCTAACGTGACTGAGGAGAGTGGGGCCGGAGGTGGCCTGTCGCAGACCGGAAGCGCCCAAGAGGATAGTCCACACCCCTCTTCACCATCTTCCTCAGGTAGGTTGGCAAGAGGAAAGGGGATTAGTAGAAGGACCCTGCCTCCTGCACGAAGCTGCTTGGTTCTCTGCACACTGGTCTCAGGCCTAAAGATGGTTCTGGGGTTAGTGCAGCTGGACCACAAAACATGGCAGACTGGAGGCTAGACAGTGTCTATTTCCTTCAGGGTGATGCCCTTTGTCCTTTCGACCTTGAACCATGGCTATCAGCAAACGACAGCTGAACCTCATTACCGGTGGTAAGGAGGGTAGCATGCTTTTTGATAGCTCAGCTTAGCCTTCCCCTGCTGCTGTTCAGTTCCATTTGTAGTCTAGCTTCATTCTTAGCTTTGTCTCTGGAACCCAGGAGCTGATGTTTGGCTCCAGATATGGATGCAAATGTAGAGGGTAACCATTCCAAACCCCTTAATTGTATCCACACAAACCTTTCTTTTGAGAGTTCTCTCCCTCCTCTATGCCCTGTCCTGTTCTGAAATTCCAACCTGGCCCACCTGCCCCGAGAGTCACACCACTTTCCCCTCTGATGGTTTTAGCCAAGCACAGAGGTTTGAAACGCAGATGTATGCCTGTGAGTCTTCCACTGCACTGCGTTGCATGGGCGATACAGTTCTAGGATCTAAAATAGCAAAGCAGAAAAATCTGTCATCAAAGATGTCTATGAAATGCTGAAGCATCCTGGCCCTGTTTGGGGGGGGGGGAAAGAAAAGAAATAGAAGGAAGGAAAAATAAATATACTAGTCTAAGATGGCTAAATTAAAATAGCTACCTAAGAGCAGGTAAGAGGTTGCCTTCATCTGTATTTCCAAAGTCCCTTTACTAATGGATAGTAAATTGAAAGTTATATCTCCAGCCCTTTATAAAGAAAGCACCTTGCTAATACTGTAATCATTCTACTGCCTAACAACAGAGGAAATCATGCCATAACAAATACCCTGTTACTAATGGCAACATTGATTTCTGCAATCAGCCATTAAGTCTAGAAAATGAAAGACAGTTTGAGGCACCTCGAGGCATCGCATTGCCCACTGTTAAAGATGTGGCAGTGTGCTGCTGAGGGTCGTTTTTTAAAAGTTTCTCTCTCTCTCTCTCTCTCTCTCTCTCTCTCTCTCTCTCTCTCTGTGTGTGTGTGTGTGTGCGCATGTGTGTCTTCGTTCTGTTATTTGGCTGTTATTTCTGTTGTAGAGGCGATTCACTGCTGTAGTTACTAACTAGATGCCATTACATTTTGTTGATGTTCTCTCACTTCAGCTTCCATTTCTTCTAGAGCAAAACTAGTGCTAGAATAAACGTGTGTGTGTGTATGTGTGCGCGCGCGCTCGCACACGATGCACGAACTTGTATGTGCCCACTCACGAGTGTGTGTGCCGGCTTATTACAGGCCAGTAAAGAATTGTTAATACACATAAATCTGAACTACACATTCCAGAGATTCCGATAGCACTTAATGCTGCTGCTTAAATACCCATGAAACACACTGTCTGCTCATGGAATCCTGGACTTGCTGGCGATTTATTACTGACGAGATGCTTCAGGAGAGTCTAACAAGGATGTGAGGACCACAGGGGGATGAGGTCACACTACATGGAGGGGCCTTGTCTGTTAGAGAAGTTGCCAAGTTGTCCTGCCTGTTGGTGGGTGGGAGCTCTGTCAAGATGGGTCCCCACATGCGAGTTGGTGAGCTCCAGGTGTCTCTCTGCTCTCTCCAGGGACTCTCTCTAACATCTTGGAAAGGGGTGTCTTCCACTGTCTGTATTCCGCTGTCGCATCAGGGGCAGAGATCAGGAAGCAGACTGGATTCTCTAAGTTTCTGGAGCAACATGGTTTTCACTGACAGATTTCATTCCCTCTCCCAGACCTGCTAAAACAAGAGGGCCTTAGCATAAAATCTAATACCAAATGTTCAGCTCTATTAAGGACATGTTTACTATGTTTTTATCACCTTCTGGCCAAGTGATAGCCAGCTGCTTGCTGCTTCCCCATCTCCAAACACTATCGGAAGAAAAAAAAAAACACACACACACCAAACCCCAGACTTACTTATTTATTGTTAAGAGAAGCAACCTTGGTCAAAAGCGATCATACTTGGGCTGGCATTAGCTCTCCACTTTTATTTTCCTCGGTGAGGGATTTTTACAATGAATACTGATTCTTTCATTTGGGGTTTGACTTCTTTGTTTTTCTTCATATTCAAATCAGACTCTTTCATAATTTTCTAAGTGGGGAAATGGATGGCATGCCCATTCTGCAGCCCAAATCAGCTGCGTGTCTGAGGGCATTCAGGTCTGGCTGGGATTTAGGATTCTCGACCAAATCTGGTTCATTTTCCCTCTTTCTAACAAGTGAGAATTGGGTAAAGTGCGATTCAAAGACACATTTAAATAAAACTCTTGACACAATGGTATTTTTATTGTTACCTGTTAGAAACCTGCAAGGTGAAGGGGAGGAGAAAAATTTAAGCTCTTAAGTAAAGGGGGGAAAAGTACTTATTAAGGCTTCTATTAAGAAATAACTGCAAAACACGGCCTTACAAATTTCTCAGAGTGCATAACAATGTCACAAAACTTCATTTGCATGGCTTGATTCTTTTTTTGTTGAAAACTGGGTCAGTAGGGCCTGAGAAACTATTTTTTCAGATCTTAACCAATGAATTCTTCTTTATAAATCGCTGCTCTTAACATGATAGTAGTTTTGAATTCATCATAAAAAAAACCTTTTTAGCAGAGCCTCTTAGAATAGATCTCTAGAAGAAGGCTTACAATGAGTGGCAGAGACGTCCTTTGTTATCTGATGTAATTCTTTGCAAAGGAGGATTGGGAACCGAGTGGCTGTTTAAAAATGTCTTGCTCAGACCGAGACGAAGAAGGGGTCAAGTTTGCAATCAAACAGTTATTGCCAAGATGGGCGACTGTCACTGGCTAGGCTAATGTGGGATGCAGCTGTTTGTTATGTGAGCAAAAGAATGTTTGAATCAGTGAACATGTGAAAATGATTCCAGTGAACCAGAAAATGTGTTTGTTCTTTTGCCTCTCCAAACTGCTGGGAACCGAGCGTAAGATCAACCGCGAGAACCAGGACCTCTGACAGGCAGAGGGGTCATATTTTCTAACAGGAAAGCAAGCAGCAAGGACTTAACACACAGATCAGCCCCCCCCCCCCCATCTCCCTTTGTTGTTTTTGTTTGTTTGTTTGTTGTTTGATTTATTTATAATTTCACACCATAGTACATGTCGTTTTCTTCTGTGTGCAGTGCAAAGTGAAACTATTTGGAGAGAGTCAGCTTATAAATTTTACTCTTTTATGACATTTAAAAAGCGGGGCGGTCGTTCTGATGCCTCCCGGTTCTCTGGCTTGCCTGCAAAGGCTCTGATGACATTAATCTCCTCCGCATCTTTCCCTACAACCTCCTCTCAAACCACCGCTGTATCCTAGCTTCTGCTCCGAGTCAGAAAACAACTGAAGTTCTGTTTCTTCAGATTTTGCTTTGGAAATCATGCTTTAGTGTAATTAAAACTTAATGTACTAAGAAAGGATACTGTTCATTATATCCAACAGGGCAGTTACCTTCCGAATCCCCCATCATTTTGGAGAGGGGATAATTGAAGTGTTGATGGTGGGAAGGGGGTAATTGAATGCATTGACCCTCCGAAAGTTGCATGATCAATGGAAGTCAGGGAGGGAGAGATACAAAGATGGAAATATCGTTGGGAGGGAGAGATACAAAGATGGAAATATCGTTAACCCCTACTTCTTCTGCTATAGCATTTTGAGTTGGACAAGGATTATTTGATCAGCTGGGCTAAAAGCCTTGGGGGTCGGTCTGCTTTTGTTGCTCGAATGCATTCCTGAGATGCTAGGTCTCCATCCCGCCTAGGCCCATTGACCACTGCATCAAAGGCCTTTATCCAGACTTCCCTGCAATACATTGGTGATAGTGATATGATAGATTTCTTCCTTTCCCACCTTCTCTCTTGCGATTCACCTCCCCGCCCCCACTCAAGATAACCATTGCCTGTTCCACACAAACAAATCCATCAAAAGATGTTTTTAAAAAAACAAAAAGAAAAGAAAAATCTAAGTCAGAGGATTAAGGTCTCCTTTTCTCTTTTCTTTTTAAAATTTTTTTCTTTTCTTTTTTTTCTTTTTCTTTTTTCTTTTTTTTTTTTTTTTTGCTTGTGCATTCCAATTGTTCTTAAAATATTTGGCAATGTCAATTAGTAACTGAGCAGAGTTAGCTGATGAACACAATTTTCCAGTAGACTGAGCACCCTATTGTTGCCGAGCGAACAGCAGATTTCTGAGGTCATTATCATTCGCTGGTTGCTTGGCCCAGCTGCTTCCTGCTGCAAAAGCCAAACTTTATACTGGAGCTCGGGGATGGCTGCAGCAACAGGGGGCTGGGAGGGGGAGAGGGGAGCTGGCTGCAGAGCCAGAGACAGTCATTATCAGCAGAGGAAACAGAAAGCAAAAGTTTAGAGGCCATTCCAGGAAAACTGCATGGGTATCAGGTTCTGCCCCCTTTTGTCACCACATTCTACCTCCAGGAGGGGAGTTAAAGGTTGGGAGAACGCCCCCCCCAGGGCGTGGCAGCAACTGACCTCTTGTAGGGCACAACTTTGGGGAAGAATCATTCCATTTATAAACTGCCGTAAGGATGCTTAACCCACCCGGAGAGCATGGGTGCCATTCCCTAATAGATAGATGAGACACTTTCGTTTTCAATTTTTAAAAGTCATTTTTTAGATGCTTTTAGAAACTTGAAATGAATAACCTCAGGGATGGCAGGCAGGAAGCAGCGTGTCATTTTGCAAAGGGACCTTTGAACAGGGGGTAGGCTGAAATTCCTTGAGTAATAAAATTTTATATGGGGGGGGGCTCACTCCTATGTCAGCTTTTTTTCTTTTTCTCTCCACTCTGACTCCGGACTCCCACCCCAACCCTAGATTCAAGGAGCTGTTTTACAGAGTTGAAAAGCTGCACTTTCTTTCTTTCTTTCTTTTTTTT